TAGTGTACAATGAATTAGAGGTAATATCTACAGAGAATATCACAGACCTGGATAAGAAATTAGCCAAAACATCTTAGCGAATGTTTTTCACCTCTTGTGAAATGTGTGTGTGTTTGTGTGTTGGTAGGTGATATCGGAGGACAGATGGGGCTGTTCATTGGAGCCAGTGTTCTTACGATTTTGGAGCTTTTTGACTACCTTTATGAGGTAAGATATATAACGTATCTGTATAGCTGTTTTGTCATAAACATTTCTGCTGGGATTTGTGTGGTGACATTTTTATAGTTTACTAAAGGAATATTTTAAATTCGGTTACCCTCATGACGACCCAAATTACTTTCTTTTTATCTGTGGAACAGAGATTTTTCTGCAGAAAGTCGCTATTCACCAATAATCTATTGCTACAATATCCATTGCAATATGTCAAGCTTAAATACACTACCATTCAAATGTTTGGGGTCAATAAGAGTCGTTTTTAAAAGAAAGTAATTATTTTAATTAGCAATGATGCATTAAATTGACCGAAAGTGACAGTAAAGATTTTTATAATGTCTTTCTATTGATCAAAGAAGCCTGAAAAAATGGTTGTTTACAATAATAGGAGGCAGCACAACAGTTTTCAACATTGATAAATATAAGAAATGTTTCTTGAGTCGCAAATCAGCATATCAGAATGATTTCTGAAGGATCGTGTGACACTGAAGACTGGAGTAATGATGCTGAAAATTCAGCTTTGCATCACAGGAATAAATTACATTTTAAAATCTATTAAAAGCAGAAACAGTTATTTTAAATTGAAATAATATTTCACAATATTAGTGTTTTTACTGTATCAAATAAATGCAGCTTTGGTGAGCAGAAGAGTCTTCTTTCAAAAACATTTTAAATATCTCACCAACCTCAAACTTTTAAATGGTAGTGTATGCAAAATGAAAGAAATCCTGAAGATTTAAAAGAGTAATGACAGCCCTAGTAAAAAGTAATATTTATTTCAAATACATTTATTTCATACTAAGTATAGTTCAAATCTATTAACATTTTTACTGACTAAACTCTATGTGGAGTACTACTTGTGCACAATGCACATTTCTTAATATTAAGCCTAACATGTGTTTTAATGTCACTATTGATGAGGATCGTATGATCTTTGAATAATATCGGTCTTTAAATGCAATATATTTAAAGTGTACCTGAAGTATACGCGCAATAGTTCCTCTTTAGCTCAATCAAATACACTTCAGATGTCTTTAGTTGGACTTCAGCACTACTTCCGCACAATTAAAGTGCATTAAGCACAAAATTAGTTGTTCCAATTTAGCAGACTTTAAGTATACCTGTTAAGTACAATTGCAGGGAATTTTAATTAAGCACATAAATACACTGCAAAAAAAAAAAGATTCTCTTACTTAGTGTTTTCGCCTTGTTTTCTAGTATAAATATGTAAGAATTCTTGAATCAGGATGCATTTACTGGACAAGTAAAATGAGTTAAGATGTTAAGTCTTGTTTTGTGAAAAAAAATATACCCAAATTGTGTAAAACAAGCAAAAATATCTGCCAATGGGGTAAAAAAAAACTTAAATCAAAGGCTAAACAAGATTACTTTTCTTGCCCCATTGGCAGTTTTTATTGCTTGTTTTAAGCAAAAACGAACACAATTTAGTTTGTTTGTTTTCAGAAAACAAGACATAATATCTTAAGCAATTTTACTTGTCCAGTAAATGCATCCTGATTGAAGAATTCTTACATATTTATACTAGAAAACAAGACAAAAACACTAAGTAAGGAACTCATTTTTTTTGCACTGTATGTATTTGTAGTGTACTTAGTATGAAATAAATGCATTTCAAATACACTTTAGTATATTGATTTGTCACTAGGGGAGAGCTCTGTCGTGTTTTTTGGCTGTGTTTGGGTAGTTGATTATCTGGAGTGATGGATGTGATGATAGAAAGCGGAGAGATGAAGATCTGATGAAGAGAGGTAGAGCTAAATAGACCCACCTCTTCTGAGAGTGATACATAGTATCGACAGCCGACTGACTGAAACACAAAGCAAGAAGCCACTGAATCTCAGGATACTGTTCTCAATCAAATCCTGCTCTCGTTTTCACATTAAAGAGGTGAATAACTGCATGTAATTCACTGCACTTAATTATGCACATTATGTCTGGAGGTGGAAAGTTTACTGTTCAAAAGTTTGAGGTTGGGAATATTTGTAATGTTTTTGAAAGACGTCTAATATGCTCACCAGGGATGCATTTATTTGATTAAAAATACAGTAAAAAATGTGAAATAATTTTAGAATTTAAAACAGCTGTTCTCTATGTGAATATGTGTTAAACTGTAATTTATTTCTGTGATCAAAGCTCAATTTTCAGCATCATTACTCCAGTCTTCAGTGTCACATGATCTTCAGAAATCAGTATAATATGCTGATTTGCTGCTCGAGAAACATTTCTGATTATTATCAATGTTGAAAACAGTCGTGCTGCACGATATT